TAACAAGCAATAAATGTCAAACTCTTCCAACTAACTTCGGGTGGTTTACCAATGCAAAACAATTATTATCTTGTTAAAGCCCGAGAAAATTAATACGAAAATTATAGCCATATTGCCCACAGACAGATAGCAACACATGCACCACACATTTGATGGATGTTCAGAGAGCTGAAGCCAGAACACTTACGATTATTGAAATGAATATCCAACGCGACGGCGTCGGCGAAAACGATGCGATTTTAACGAGAGATAAAAAAACGTGATTTTATGCCGAATTCTTGTGGCTAAAACCAGTTGAAAGACTTGATTATTCTCACAAGCGACAAACCGAGAGAAAAATGTTGTACATTTGCATCTATTCGATTGGTTTGTCATAGCCGCTGCTGCAGCTACTTCGGTTTTCTTTTAATCTATCGATAGATTTTTGATTCTCGGAACAAGACATTAGTTTACCATGTATCGAAGTGTGCGCGCACACGCTTGCATCGTATCATGAATGGATTTAAAGTGCATCCCACGCATGCAGCCGCAGTTCAACTCCATTATTTATTATGATGTGTGCAAATTATAAGATCATTTGAACATCACACATTTGCTGCTGCTGTTGTTGTTGATGTTGCTGTTCGATCTTTTTCGTTGTACCTCGTTTTTGTTCATCAAATGTTGTATTTTTTTGTTTTTATTAGTCGCGCCATACACTGTTCGATTCACAATCGATTTGCAATACAACGGCATCCACAGCAGCCGTTCGAAAACGTTAAAAAAAATTTGCCGAAGAAAAATGAACGAAATTCGGGTCAATACTAAATTATTTATTTCGTCGATGTGTTAATGTTCTTTTTATTGTTATTATTAGTATCATTATTTCGGTCCGTTTTTTTCTCTCTCGAGATTTCTCTCTCTCTCTCTCTACCGTCTTCCAAACAATTTTTGTTTTCGCTTTCGTTTTCATTTACTCTTTTTTTTTTCTCTCTCTATGAGAATGAAAATTTGGCAGCAAAATTTATTGGGTCTGGTTGAGTAATGGTCAATTTCGATTTCATAAAATGCTTGTTTTCGGTCGCTTCGTATCCTGTGATCGGCGGTGAAGGATGATGCTATAATCATAATAATGAATGATTCGATTTGCAGTCTGTGTGTGTATTGAAATCGATATTTTGTTGATGACCGCCCGAGAAAAGCGAAACGATGAAGGTGACGACGACCAAATTGTGTACATTCAATTCAGAAATAGGTGCGCAATTGACTCTCTCACTATGGAATGCCCCAAATAGATTAATTTTTCCATTTTATTGTGCGTTTGCGATCACAGCACAATATCGAGATGAACACACTCTCGGTGCGATTCGATTAGCTCAATCAAATTCCGATTTTGATCGTTGTACACAAATGTGGATCGCATATAAGGAATGATTTGCTGAATGAATTCGCCATAAATAAACAATTTACTGATCGATGATCGCAATTTCACAATGATCAATTAAAGGCAAAACCTTTTCAACAGCAACAACAACAGAAAAAACAAAACGAAAAATAGCATCAAATGAGTGTACACTTATCCGGTGGAAAAATCTGATATTGAAAATGTTTTCGGCCGTTTTGTTGACATACACAAACAGACAGGCATTGGCATAGAGATAGAGAGAGTGCATCAGATGATTTTTTTTTTCATGATATCGACCGACGACAGTACACGAATAAATACCGTTACATCGATACCTTTGATGTTACTGCAAAAACAAAATGTGTAACTAAACGAAGGCACCATCGATTCAATGAGGCAAAACGAATGATCCGATTTTAGCTCCGATGAGAGACACATTCTCAGGTGTTTTGCTTTTGATACAATGTCGATCGAATCGAGTAAATGTTAATCACTTTATTTATATTTTCGGTTTAATTACATCATTTCGATATGTCACATTGGTCGATGTGTACGCGCACGTGTGTAAATGTCACACGTACGATGCGAATAGAACTGGAACACGAGAGCGCAAGAATAAATTAAGTCAATGGCAGACAATAAAAAGGAAGATGAAAGAGAATGTGTGTGTGTGTGTGTGTGTGTGTGTGTGTGAGCCATCAGAAAAATTCATCATAAAACCAAATGCATTTAATACGGCGATTGGTTCGTATTTTTTTTTTTCATACGAACCCCCCAAGCTCAATTGCCATTCTAACAACAATGTTGCAAATGGCAATCGAAACGAAAAACAGGTACGCGATATCATGTTACATTGTAAGCGAGAGAGCCTACAAGTGTATTTAACTTGCATCGGAATGAAATCGATGTCACGGAATGCAAAAGTGTGCAAGTGCATACAGCGGCTGTGTGAGTGTATGAATGTGTGTAAGTCTGCAAGTGTCGGCAATTGGCCAGAAATTCGGCGAGAAGAGATGAGATGAGATGAGAAGAAGAAACATTCTGTAATTTCCACTGAATCAATCGAATGTGTAGAATTTACAGCTGTTTTGGATTTCAATTACAGGTACACAGTTTGACGTTCTATTCGCACTCACAATGCCGCGATTAACCGAAAGAAGAAAAATCTGAACGGTTTACACCAAAGTTGTGGTGTATGTGCGCGTGAATGTTGGTGATCATCGACGATGACAAGCCATCTATGCATTAGCCGATAGCATTAGATTATTAAAGTTCAAGAGATGAGAGTTGTATATAGTATACATGCAGCATGCACATTTAGCCTGGGACACGCATGCACACTGACACATCAAATGCCTGCTGCCAAATACACGTAAGTATGGCATCCATCAGCGCGACGAGAGTGAGAAGTGTGCATCGCTCGTTGTATATATCACGAATCTCCAATAATGTTTTATCGATGCATCTACAAATCGTTGCTTGTTTTCGTTGCGATTTCGATAATCGGCTTCAAAACATTTACAGCAACAGCAGCAGCAATGGCATTCAATCTCACTTTTGGCATCGCGTACGTGATACGTTCGCGTGCGTGCAATTTGCTTCTCCATCACTTCGATCAAGTCTATGATCGGGTGCGACCAAAACGCGCGCTCGCAAGTAATTTGATATTGAACTAGGACTGAATAGGTTTTGATGTCTTCACTTGGCACATATTTGGATCGATCATGTGTTGAGCTGTTCTGCAATGTTAATCACGGTTCCAACATCACCACCGATCGATGTTTACGGCGAAAGAAATGGCTTAATTGGATTTACGCCCTATTCGCTCTCCCTCTCTCTCTTTCTGCATTGAGCGTGAATATTCTTTATTTTTCTACGATGTGCTTTGAATTGTGTAGCTAGATATGAATCAATGCACTGACCTTATAATTTCAAGGAAATATGCATCCTGGTCGATCGCGTACAAGGGCAGCTTCTGAAATGATATGTGTATGTGTGTGCGTGTTTTTTTCCGCAACAACAGTGAATCATGTGAATACGTGTGATGATTTGAATGCATCAGTCATGTGGAAATATCCCATAAATCGCAATCATCATTATTATTATTTTCGGTGACTATTTCTGCCGGTTTTCAATGTTGTCATGCATTTTATTCGGTGGATTTGGGTTGGATTAGCACTCAATGATGTACCGAGAGCCCTTAAATGTCATAACACATCTATTTCACTATTATTATGAATGATAATAGTCCGGTGTTGCTCTTCACTTCTTCTTTTTTTCCGCGGTATTTTGGTATTGAGCCAAAGCTAGAGATCTTAATTAATCTATTCATATCGGTTGGCATCTTAATTTTCATACTGCGATATGTATTCATGAAATTCATATCCGATTTTAATTTATGCATAGAAAAATGATGTTTCGTACGGCATCGATCGCTTGAAAATTGCTCAATGCTTCGTCGGCATTAACGATGGTGGACGCGGGGCAGCAAAACCTCCAAATGGTATTATCATTTAATATATTAATAACCAGCATTTAATTACTGTACTGTAATCGATTTGGGTTCTATTCGTTGATGCCTAGCGTTTGTCGTATGAGTCGGTTTGTCTGCAGGGAGACTGGTGTGTAGCAAATGTGACCACAGCACCAATTTTTTTTCTTTATTTATGAATACGATGATATTTTATGTATACATAAGCTGGGCCGTAGAAGAAAAAATAGAAAAAATTCCGAAGAAATAATTGATTCGAGACTTGAAATAAATTATTTATGAAGAAAAAATATTTGGTTTCTTCTGTTCAAGAAAAAAGAAGCCCAAATTCAAATCAAATATCTAATGGTGGACAGCCACCTTCGACCGGTTCGCACGAGCGCGCGGTTTTCTGCACAATTTATGAATATTTATTTTGTATCGGTTTGGATTTATGTTCGACCAATCTCGCCAATATATCGATGGATTGTTGTTTTTTGTTTGCTGCGCTGCCAAAACGAACATCCCAAAAATAATGTGCAAAGAAGAAATGTCGAAAAAAAAAATTGTCCATACCCAACCCATATTTAATATATTTATATTTTAATAAAGTTTGTGGCGCATAACAACAGATATGAAAATCTGGAAAAGATCACCGCCGCCGCCGCCACCACCACCACTGACACTACCACTATTATTCAGCCGATCGGTCGGTCGGTCGGCTGACACATACAAAAGACTATTTTTCTCGCATAGTTCACGCGTATTGTATTAAGCCTAACTCTATGACAACGACAAAAGAGTAGCCAAAAATGAACACGACACACATATACACACTCGAAAGAAGAGCAACAAAACTATAGCCAAA